CAGCTGGAGTTTAATTCATACATGAGCCAAACAACGTGTTTTCTGTCATATTCTCCATTTTTCCACATGAGGTTTGTTTTGGGCAGCTTTGCTGCAGAAATAAACGTGTTTACAGCCAGCCTGGCTTAAGCAGCTGCTATTGTTCCATAATAATTGCAGTGGAGTTGTTCTTGTTTTTTTAATTAAGGCTTGAAGTTGTACATTATTAGGTGTGTGGCTGCTTTGAGTGGCTGGTGGTTGCTGATTTTGCCACTAGATCTCTGCTAGAGTTCACCTCAGCCAATTTCGGCCACTGAGTTAGACCTCTATAGCATGTTTGTGCGTTTTTAAGGCAAATATCAAAGAGATTGCCCAAAATCTCTGCGCTCCCGATTTGGTAAGTAAAATTGTAGTATTTTATAGTGTTAACTGATAACTCTGCACTCTACCCTCTCTTCCGGCTTTGTACACTTCTTCTCCAAAAACAAGTTTGATGTCCACACTGCCAAAATCAAGCCATCAAAATGTGAGTCACCAAAACAATAGACTGCATATAAAAAATTTACATATCTGGGTCTGAAAATGCACCTAATGCTAAAGTGCTTTAAAGTTGTGCACAGACAACTTCCTTAAACTGTGGTCTCAGTTGAAAGTTTAACATTTTCACAAATACAACAAAAATTTTGTAAATTAAGGTACACATTAGAGTCAAAAGGGCCAAAAAACTATTTATATTTTAATGTGACAATTTATCATTTGCCTGTAACTGTAAATGTCTGACTTTTGACATCTGCTATTTTTAAAAAAAAAAAGCTTCGATCGAGGCTTCACTATCCAATGGGTGATGGCAGACATACGAGCTCATACGTTCATCCATTGAAGGTTAACTACGTTACTGTTAATATTATACCTAGTGACCTAAGAGCTCAGTGACTCAGTGCAGCCAGAAACTTACTTACGTCCTAAGAATATTTTTCACTAGAAATGATAAAAATATGAAATATTCTGTGTTAATTGTAAACTGTCATGTTTTCCAGACCCAGGTCATTACTGCACAGTTACAAATGATCAGTACAAGATGGCTCTGCCAGTATTTTGGCTTCACATTTACAGTTTAAAGAACATCTTCCATTTTTATGTAAAGTCCAGAGATGAGCTCTGACATAAGTAGCAATACACAAACCCTACAGAAACGTCCGAACATCATACAGAGCCAAGCTCACAGTAACGTTTGACCTGTTAGTGAGTTAAATGATACCACTTGGATGTCTGTTTCTGTTGTTTTAGTTTCTGTTGCCTGATAATACAAAGCGTGGAGAGTCCATGAACAGGCAGATCTCATCTGGCAGGTTACAAACTGACCGACTGGTGAATCCTGGTGATTCTGCCGGTGAAACAGAACTAGCGTGAGATCCCCTTTACATGTCCGCCTTTTTTTTCAATCACCTGTTTGACAAAAGCAAAGCGAGGCCTCCAAGAAGCAAGAACTGAAGCATGTGTTTGTATGTTTTTCATCTTTACATGATAATGTAGTGTAAGAGTGTAAGGTAGAGCACCACTCAGAAAATCTTATTGCATCGCCCTTCATGTGTCAGCAGAAGGGAGTCGGGGCACTGTCACATCTGGGCAGCTCCGCTAACACAAACATGGATCATAAAAGTACATTTTTGCCCCCAAATTAGGACAGAGAAAATGATACGTGGCTGTTCAAGTTGAGAAATAAAGAGATCAAAAGAACTGCTTTCAGCATTTCGTGTTTGTTGAAGAAACACATTGAGCACGCACACCAACATTTTCATTTTCATTCATTTTAGCTGCTGGCATAGTGGGCAGCACTTTACACCATTCTTGACATAGTTTACCCTTTTTCTGTGTGGAAATCCTGAAAATGTTCTTTCAATATTCTTTTGCAAGTTGACATTTCCCATTTAAGATGTCATTTAATTAAACTGATGCAAATAAAGAAATAAGAAAAGCTCTGAATTCATTATTCACGTATGCATTCCTGTACCACAACTCAGTGTCAACCCCGGTAGAGTGTTTTTCCAGCATACCACACCGTGCTGTTTCCTCAGTATTAAAACATTAAAATAACCATTTTAGGGTTGCTCAGGCGTGTCTGAATAAACAAATGAGAGGGCACCTGTGTGAAATATTTGGCACAAACATAGCAAATATAATTAAAAGAAAAAAGCTGAAAAAGGGATATAAAAAGTTCCGACTTGGTTTACTGCCAAAAGCAAAGGAGTAACCGTTGCTGAAGTGAGGTCTTCACCACGCTGAGGTTATTTATCAGAGGTAAATACGTCTTTCTGGTGTTCGTCTCAGCTCAGGGTGGGCTACACTAAGGCAATTCAACGGTCGCTAATGCCAGGTGGAAACACGGAAATCAAATTATGATACAAACAGTCCATATTAAAACTATAACTCTATTTCTAACATAGCCTCTTCAGCGTAATTGTAACTGTTTATTGCATGCAAACAGAGATTGGTGATTGTAATAAGCAGGATTATTGTATTTGTGCCTACAATTATGTACCAGTGACACCCATTATATTGAACCTAGGCATTAGTTAAACAGCAGAACAAACACTATTCTTTGCCTAGTTACTTTATCTAGTGTGCGCTAAGAAGTGGCTGCTGTGTGACGCCAATACACGGTGTGAATATGCTCATGTAGAAAAAGAACACTTCCATTATAAGCATGGCTGCCTCGGCTCCCAGGGTGTTTCATCTCAAAGGAGCCCAATCTGTGACAATCCAGCTGGTAGACATAAACAGTTTTGTTGCGCCTGCTGCCTGTAAATACATTTAACCCCAAAATTTTCCACCTCCAAAGCCTCCACATCTTACTGCAAATGTAAAAGAAAACTTCAGGTTCATTCCATATGTGTGACTCACATTGATCAACAACAACTCACTGCTAAGGTTTCTTTTAAAGGAAAAATTACACATTCTAGAATATTTTGCCTCCGTGTCCAGAGTTAGATGATTGATTGAAGCAGGTTCTGGGTTTCGTTTGGCCTGTTATAACCTGACCTGCTGTATTATTTAAGCTCTTTCATGTTATTGTTATATGCTTTATGCTACTGTTTGGTAGGTTGCAGTCTTGTATATTTTGTCTGTGCTGTCTCTGGGTTTTTATTAGATAAAAGGGAAGCTGGTTTTTATTGTTTTGGTGGGAACTTAAAATGAGTCTAGGTCAGGCCTAGCATCCCTGGATATTATAAATGTTATTTGTGTTAATAATATTATTAATCTGGAGCTGGCATAGCTTTATTAGATCCTTCTTGCATTAAAAGTTGATGAAGTTTTACTTTTTTATGACATACTTTATTTTGTACCAGGAATATGTATTTAAATTCAACCTTAGAACACTAATGTTGGGTGATTTTAACTCACACAATGAATAAATATCATTTAGTGGTAATGTCCAATAGAATTTTTATGGTAAAAAAAAATTAATATTAAGCAGATCATTTTCTCCTCTCAGAATAAGTGCTTTTGTGTTTCTCTCGCTCACTGTTTTCTGTAATGCAGGGAGACTGTGCCTTCACCAGACAAGGCTCACATGTCTCAGGACTGGGTGGACCGAAAAACAAGCTCCCAGTTCCATTATTTGTATTTTTTTTTATTCATTTTTTTTAATGATTCCTAAATTTTTGACTAATTCTAGAGCCGTTTTATTTCATTAGATCATAGGGGAAATAAAAGAAGAGTACTTCAATTTGTTATGTATTGTTGTACTTTAATATATTTTGATGGAAAGTATGTTTTATACTTAAATATAATGTTACAAAACTGCACATTAGTGTTCTAGAGTTAAATGGGATAATTTTAACTGAAGCCACATCTTTGTCATGTTCCTACAGATTTATTGGTGTGACTGACGTTGGTCCTGCCAAACTAAGTGAAGCAGAGTAGACTTATTCTCGTATGTGCAAAAACCAAATTGCAGGGAGGAAAAATTCATAAACTCCAAGACGATAGTCTTTATGCTAAGCTAAACGATCCAGCTGTGAGCTCTAAATTCATATATAGGTCCTGGAAGAAGTCTTCTTATCTAATACAAGGAATTCAACAGGTGTATTTCGCAGAATATAGAAAAAGCACAGCTTTCAAAGGAAAGTATTTTTTTCATAAGCGCATACATGTGGTTGTTGATCTCTTTTGGCTGGTCTTTTGTGCCAAAGACAGACTTTTCTTCAGTAATTTAATTTTCCTCTCCCCTCTGGGTGTAGAATAAGTAAAACCCACAGTTTGACTTGTTACTATAGTAACACAAACAGTATAAAGAACCATTGAAAGAATTGGTTTAACACCATAAAATGTATTAAAAATATACCAGTAAAGCACACGCTGTTATCTTGGCTGTCAAGCTCATTTGAATCGTCCTTTTACCAGCCTGATCTTTATAACATACAGAGAACTCAAAGTGTTGTGACGAAGGAGGGATGAGCCATGTCTAGTGGCTGAAAGTCATAATGAAGTGATAAGAATCTAATAATCCTTTGTGTTTTCCAAGAAATGGCCATTTTTTAAATGGGGTTCTGAATGAGAATAGCCATAATCAGTCAAAGCCAGGCTCTTCTATTTTTCTTAATAAATCATTATTCCCTGATTATTGTAGCAGATAGTATCTACCCCTCCAGAGGAAGGCACTATGAGTGGTTTGAACATCCTTGGATTTTCATCATCTGGATCTGACTGATGACTGGATAAAAGCATTCCCTACAACACAAGCCATCCTCCTGACTGAGGAGTCTGGGACACATTTTCTTCTTCGTCTTCAAGTCGTCGTTAGTGCACTGTCCATCCTGACATCCCTCTGTGTACAGCATATGAAGAGAGTCACTATTGTGATGTATTCTCATACCTGAAGCCACTGAGGCTGAAATCTCTGCCAGGCACAGGGCTGCACACACACACACAGACACACACACACACACACCACAAACACACAGTCCTCCTGACTGTGTTTTCATCTCCAGGTAACTTCTTCAGGGTCCACAGGAAAGAGTTTATTTGGTGTTACCTTTTATTCAGATTGAATTACCTCTGTTAAGCTGCACTGTCCATCTCCTGAAACCAAGCAGGCACCCTCAGTGTGCTAAAGGTAGAGATAGCCTACCCAGTAGACGATGTTGAAGAGTAAGAAGGAGGTGGGAAAAAAAACGCGGGAGTATGCGTCCAGTTCATGTACATCTATGTGGACGCGGCCTCTCCTCCAACCGCCTTCTTTACACTCCTCGAAACAGCAGAAGAAGCTCTGGCAGTCTTTTCCGTCCAGACACTCGTAGACACAAGGGTCTTCAAATTCCTGCCAGTACATGGAGTTGTTTAAAGCGATGACTGTGTGTGGAGGAGGTCTCACATCGAGGACTGAGTAGTTCTGAAAATACAAGAAGTCTTTTGAGTACCAAATGCTTTCCCCCCCATCACATTAGAAGTTTTTTTTTTCTTAAAGCAGAACATTGTCCAGAAGGTTTGATGGTTACAGATCTGAGGTCCAATTTGTAGCCATTTAGTCTCAGTAAGATTAAAGTATTCTGAGGGAGAATAACTTACGTCTTTATATCCATTGATTATGTTTTTCAACTGTGTGTTTTTGTACCCTTGTTAGGGCAGCTCAGTCTGGACAAACTCTTAACATGTCTAATATCTACATGTTCTCCAGACATGAGGGAAATAGTGAGTGCAGCAGTGGCAGTAAATCATTTTTGCCATAACACGGGCAGTAGCCTCTTAAAGTCCGAATTAAAATGTCTTTATATCTATTTTTTAAATAATCGTTCATAATAACCTCCCCTGTAAGGAAACTTTGAAGCAAAATGAAAGAGTAAAATTCAACAGCTTTCCACCTGTTGATTAATCTGCAAGCTGTCAGAAATGATGTCTAAAAATCTGACAGGGAACGTTTTCACACTGCAATCATGATGCTGATAAAAGAAGCTGAAAGATACTTTGTAGATACTTTGCTGACATGAGTGGACGAACTAAAAGAACATCTGAGTCTGTTGTGTGTCCACTAACAGTGTCTGGAAACATTTTCATGTGCGACACTAAGTGTAAGATGAGAGCACAGGACATGAGGTAGACTCTGTTCTCGCTGTATTTGATGGCCCGCCTGTCCTGTAAAATAGTGATGGTCCCATCAAAGCGCGTAGATAAGGCACCATCACATCATCTCATCTCTGAGCACTTTTCTTACTTCAATCCTTTGATAACAGAACTGAAGCACTATCACAAAAAAAACTACTTTTCTAACATGTGACAATAATCCTGTGCATACATTTTACCGTTTTTTTCCTCAGAGTTCACCGACCTAACTCAGTGAGACTATTTAACACATCTGTTTGAAATGCACAAACTAGCTCACCAGTCTTTTCGGTTCCATGTAGCTGGGTCTTCGAACGCTGTACGAGTAGTAATTTAACGTAGCGTACTCCATCAGAGCAGCAAAGACAAACAGGAAGCAGACGGTGACAAAAAGGTCCATGGCGGTGACATAAGACACTCTGGGCAGTGATGTCCTGGCCACAGTACTGAGAGTGGTCATGGTCAGAACTGTGGTTATACCTGAAGGACACACAAAAGTCGTCTCAGTCAAACACAAGTTTTTTGGATCTGTTTCCACTTGGAATGTGACTTTGGTCCAAACTGAGTTTTGTTGTTTGCGCTTGCTAACCACATCACTATAAAGTGACACAATGCCGACATTAAAATCTCTACGGACACTTGAGCTGGTGATGCAGAATTATAATAATATCTGTGGAAAAACAACTCAAAAAAGCATTGCGTGTCTCAGACAGTCCGGCAAAAGCCAGGCAGGACGAGGATTACACAACCGAGAGATTCTCATCGACATAAATATCGACACATCTGTGAGGTGATTGCCTCGAGATCCTTTATGATCACATTAGACGCTGAGACGCAAGAGAACACTGATGGTTTCATTTCAATGAAAGTGCAGCACTGAAAACACCGATGAGTACACAAAGACAAGGTAGTCGCAGTGAAGAGATCAGTGATACTGTTGCTTTAAACACAACAGATCACCACAAGCAAAGAACCCATTTACCCATTCGTTAAAGTTGCCTTTCAGTGCTGATCACCAGCTCCACATATTTAGTTTTGGACTCTAGAGTAGCTGTGCGTGTTCAAAACAGGCCTCTCAGTTCATCCTCTGTTTTAGTTCTGTATATTTTCCTAGCTCCATCTCGATTTATGGGGTGTAAGGCAGGTGTGGGTGTGTTGGGGCTGGAGCGTATCCCAGCTGTCACCAGGTGAGAGGTGTACAACCCGTTTACCAGTCTATCTATCACAAGGTTAACAAAGGGACAATAAGAACCATTCATATCCAATTCAGAATCACCAATTTATCTAACATGCATGTCTTTGGCCTGTGGGAGGACGCCAGGAGAACGTGCAGACTGCACATGGAGAGTTCCAACTCAGGAACCTCGTGTTGTGAGGAGACTGTCCTAACTCCTGTACCTCCTCTGTATTATAAATAATAATAATCATGATCAATCATACTAATAGCACGTAAAAACAAAAAAAGTGACAAAGTAGGTGACTGAATCACTCGAATGTTTTTAATTAACATATCCTTTGTCAGCACCAACAACAACACTTGTGTTTGGGTGTTTGAGTGATAATGAGCAACACGTGTGGGAATTCATCCCATGTAAAAATTACAGAAGCGTATTTACGTGCAGTCCTCCAAACACACAGTTATTTCTTATGTTGTATTAATTCATATTTTCCTATTAATTGTCGTGGCTCGCTCTGTATTAAATTAGTTACAGTAGGCCTTTATTTTATTTTGCTTGTGCTATTTAGTCGTGTTAGAAGCCAAATGTGTCATTTATGTGACAAACGATGAATTAATTAGATATAATGAAGACCTCTATCCCTCCAGCATCTCTGAATAATTTCATTTGTTCGCTCGCCAATCTCGCTCCTCTGTGAGCTTTAAAGAGATGCCTTTAAAGGAAAAAAAAAAAAAAACATCCGTTACTGTTTCACTGAGGTTCCTATGGTAACAGGCTGGCCCCATCTATTTTAGGTGGACATCTCGCACTTTTCCTTTAGCCTCTGCTTGCCACAGTGATTACTCTTACCTGACTTCTGCTGTTGCTGTGACACAGAGTTTTTCCTCTAAACAACAGCATGAAAAGCAGGCTGGATGAGAGGAACGTCTCGGAGGCATTTTACTTTTTACTGACAGCTTAAAGTGTGAAACTATGAGGTTCTGTAAAGAAATGTTCATAGAGTATAAGCATGCTACCAAACAAAGTTAGAAGTGTAAGTGTGTAAGTCAGCTGAAAGGTTTTCTGACCTTGACTGAGTCCTAAAGGGGCTTTATCTTTACTCCCACACTGGCCTGGCTTGCCAGATACATTTACAATCAGCTTACATCTAAGATCCATTCATTATCTTCATTCTTCTTCCCGACTTGCAAGCGATTGATCGGCATGCTTTAGAGCAAAGATGACAGATTAAAAGCACTCGTTCATCTTCTAACTCTGTGTGAGCGAACAGTATCGAACACGGTGATGGTGGGCGATACAGGGAGCCTTGTGACACCGAGCTGTAGCATTTTCCTTTTTAGCTCCAATAACAGCACATTCATCAGCAAAAATATAATTTCACACAACAGTGGTAAAAACAGCTTACACGGCTACATTTAGAGGGCTTATAAATTTGAAATTTTAGTGGTTAAACTCAGCATTTTATCCAATCCTTTAACTCAAGGCTGGGTCAATATTTCCTCACTCAGATGTGAATAATGGAGAAAAAGAGAGAAAATAAAAATTGTTACCTTCACAAAAAATGTTCCACAGGACTGCACAACAACAGAAAGCATGCACGAAAGAGAAAAACACAAAAGAGCAGACAGATGGAGTGATTTTAGTGACAAATATCTGAGAAGCACATAAAGATGAATCCTCAAAAACACATAACCAAAAAGTGCAAACTTAAATCTTGTAAGTGGGATGTTGAAGTAATGCTTCCTGTATTATTTCCATGTATTTAATGCGGTGCAGTACTGTTCCTTTAAAGACAGACCCTCAGGTGTCATCAGTTCACTGTACCTAAAGCTGTTCTGGCTGGAGTGGCATCTTTTTTAATCCAGAAGGACACCCAGGACAAAACCACAGTGAGGATGCAGGGGATGTATGTCTGGATGGTGAAGTAGCCCATTCTTCTGCTCAGGTCAAAGTACACGGTCATCACCACGTAGTCGCCTGTGTGTGAAAATAACAACCATGTGAAACTTCTGGATGGTTCAATCAGTTGTTCTGATCATGTAAAAAATTCCACACAATGGGGTGGTTCTTTTCATTTCGATATTAAGTGCAAAAAATAAGACATGTTAAATACTGGTGCAATTAACCATTAACTACATATCGCAAACCTTTGGTAAATACGTTTACAAGCTTTATTTAAATATTCTCCCCCCTATATGTTGCGACTTCAGAAGGAATTTCATGCAACTGGGTCAGTTGTGAAACTGTGACTTCCCATACACTTGTTACTGCACTCTGTAAATAGAAAACACTTTTTTTATGCCAAACCCAGTTTGTGCTGGGGCAGGGCATTAGTAAATCTGGCCAAAGAATGCAAGCTGAAACAAAGATTGTGGAAAAGTCCACAAATGTCTTCTTCTTCTTTCTTTTTTTTGTTGCAATCCCTGCATTGTTACCATTTAAATAAGTACATAAATGGCGATCGTGGCTCAAGAGTTGGCAGTTCGTCTTGTAATCGGAAGGTTGCCGGTTCGAGCCCCGGCTCCGACAGTCTCGGTCGTTGTGTCCTTGGGCAAGACACTTCACCGGTTGCCTACTGGTGGTGGTCAGAGGGCCCGGTGGCGCCAGTGTCCGGCAGCCTCGCCTCTGTCAGTGCGCCCCAGGGTGGCTGTGGCTACAATGTAGCTTGCCATCACCGGTGTGTGAATGTGTGTGTGAATGGGTGAATGACTGAACGTGTAAAGCACTTTGGGGTTCTTAGGGACTAGTAAAGCACTATACAAATACAGGCCATTTGCCATAAATGTCCCAAACAAACCAACAAACAGCAGTGAGTGACAACAGCTCGCTGTGAAGCAGCTAGAAAGATTAATAAAATAACCTTTAAGGTCACTTATCATACACGAGTTACACAAGTTCCGTTTAAATGTGCAAACAGTTTTTCAACTGCATAAAAAAAATGGTCTAAAAAGTATATCAAAAGTGCCCTAAACATGCATTTATTTTAAAGGCCACCAGAGGGGCGTGATCCGTTGTTGCAAAAAGACTTTCTTTTTCTGTATAAATAAATACGTACTGTTTCTGGTTTATGGGCTCAGTAACTTATATCAGGTAATGCTGATTAAAACATCAAGTTCATTTTGTACATTTCGGTCATTCCAAGAGGAAGATTATCCAGGGTATGCTCACTGGCTAATGACTTCCCGCTTTCCCCTTCCCCTTATCACATCTGGTTTAAAAGCGCAAAGATGGCAATGGCTAAAAAGCTGCTATCGAGGCTTCATAACAAGACTTGATATACAAGCCAATATGTGATTTCTTGTATGCTGTCTGTGGTTTTACTTCAGTCCTTTAGATTTGGTGCAGTAATACATTATTTGTATATGATTTTAACATAAATTTCTAATTAGGATTAGGATTCAACTTTGTCATTACACATGTATAAATACAGGGTAACGAAATACAGTTTGCATCTAATCAGAAGTGCAAGAGCAGAAAATGCTATAAGAGTAGATTATATACAGATAAGGGTAGTATAAATTGTGGAATAGTTATGAACAGATTATGTAAAAATAAGTTAAGTATACAGATGTTTATATTGCTATAGCATTAAATACTGGTTTTACAGTTTGGCTGCCTAATCTGTCCAATTATGGCCCAGTATAGAATGGATGAAAACCAGTGGTGGCTCTCCAACACAAATCCTGTAGGATTAATATTGACTACTTGACCAAAAACCAGTGTGTGACGATGAGCAACGTAGTCTGCATTTCTACCTGCACATCAGATTAATCACTTTGAAGTGTTTTTCTTTTTGGCTTATTCATTTATTTATTTATTTTTGTGTGTGTAGTTTATACTGTTAATGAGTAATTATGTGATAATGACATTTCAGGCCATGTTACAGAATAATAACTAATAATAATTAATTTATTATTAAATAATAATTCCAATAAAGTAACAAGTATTAACTTTTCTTTCTTTTTTTTTTTAAACATGGCAAATGAAAAGATACTGTTGCACATGTAGCCAGGTGGAACTGTGAGTTAGGGTAACACGAGAACTACAGACCAGAATCATAATCATCACTTTGTTTTCCATCTGGCTGACAATCACATGTCTTTAAAGACAGCAGGCAGGCAGCGGGGAGTAACATGTAATCTGTCAGCCATTAAAAAACAAGATCAGGTAATTCTACTGTTGAATCTAATAAAGGCAGCACTGTGCAGTGAGCCTCTATTTCCCAGCATCACAGTCAGTGTACTTGCCCTTGCCCTCAATGGGCAGTATCACTGTGAACACGTATGAGGATATTTAGATACGTGACAGTTAATGGAAGTCTGGTCATATAAAATGCAACAGTTCCAGTTAAAATTTCTTTATTGATGGTTTTTGCGATTAATTTATTTTCATTAAAGTTTAATGTTCTGAGAGATTGTTACTAATTATCAAATTTATGTTGGCACATATATAGATTAATTATAAATTGCTTCGTTCGGATGATAAATGAACGCCTCCAGAGGAAATCTGATAAGCGAATATTGAGAATTTATTTTTCCTTTCAGGTATTTCTACAGTGAGTAATGAAACTTTCCTCAGTTTGCCTTTGAAAAGAGTCTCACAGCTGCTTGTGAATTATTCGCCTGCACACAGACCCCTGAATACAACACCACAGAGTCGAACATAGATTACATATGGATTACACAAAGACACAAAACACGGAGACTAAATCCACGGAACAGCTGCAGAAAGTTCCACAAGATGCTTGGAACAAATGACCTGCCTCATTTTATTTCTGCTTACTGCATGTTGTATGAAGTATCTTTACTTTTGGAAGAGTTTTTACTTAATTTTAAGAGCCAAAAACCTCTGAACAGTACTGTATAGCATTTCTAAAAATACAAGAGCTGAGTCAGCCTTATGCAGATCACATACAGCTTCCTGTGAATGCGGGCCCTTATAAATTATTTCTCTCTACAGCCGATGTTTAATATTACATTACATTGAAATACATTAGAAAAAGTTATGCTTTCAGTCAGTGATAATCCATGAAGTTAACTACTTACACCCTAAAAGAAATTTGCTGACATAACATCAGAACCCGTTTTCGATACTACATATACATCATTGTCATTTCTTTTTTTTTTTGTAAAACCTTTTCATCCGTTTACACTCTGTAATTGCTTTTCTGTATTTTAGTATCAGCGTCTGTGGTAAAGTAATTCCAAACGTTTTCATTTACTGTCGTGTTAGTGACATCAGCCTCATCTCCCAACCACACAGGCAGTGAGAAGTGTGAGTGGTGTAAATGCTGAGCTTCATCGAATATGTCAAAAAAAAAGGAGAAGAATAAAAAACTGTTTGTGGACACAGACGTTCACTGTTCCTGCAGTAACTGGCAACATTAATGAAGTCAAGTAGGGCTGAAATTAAACATTTTTATATATAAGAATTTTATGAATAAGAAAAAAAATACGTTTTTTTTACTGCCATTATGTCAGCAGACTGTAACAAATCTTAAAAGATGAGAGCGTCCTCAACGCCTCTGAAAGCCTGTGAATGCGTTTCAGCATGAATGCTGTTTTCTGTGGTACTGATGCACAACAGCAGTTGCCCCTTGACTCTTTATTTTAGTTTTTAAAAAGTTATGGAAGTTTAACACATGTTATGGAAATTGATTTTTTTCCAGTGCACGCTCTCAAGTACCGAGTCCACCAAGTCAGCAGGTGACAACACAAACTGCACACAAGACAAAAAGTAATAGTGACGTGGCTTCGAAAGCGTTGGCAATAAAGCACACTAACATTAATAAGCTGCTACAGTAGCTAGTTTGCCATACTTTGAAACCTTCTAGATGCAAGTGTGATAATGGTGTCCTGGACCTCATGCTGATGAAGCATTACTTCATCCTCATGGAACATGCTGCGCGTTCTTCTTTTTATTGATTGCTGTTATCTATAGTTTGCAAGATGATGCCAATTAGTCTGCAAACACTTGCCAACTAACCACCAACTGGTTGTGAAAGAAAACCAAAAAACCAAAAATCAAACCAGAAACGGAAAAAGTGCCTTTGAAACCAACATGTTTCAAAAGGTGTAGATTTTAGTTTGAAGGTGAAGGGCCTCTATTTCCTGTTAGACTTTTCAGTTTCTTTACCACTTCACGAGGAGTTGATGAGTATATGTATTATATACTTATACATAATATTATATATTTTTCCTATGGTCATCTTCACCCACTTTGGGAACCACTGGGCAAAAACGCGTTCAGTGAACTGTATTTAATGACAGATGGAGAAATAAAGAGCTGTATTTTGGGGACCTTTACTGTTTGTAATCTCAGTGTAAACAAAAAGATAACAGTAAGTGGTCTAACTAATGAATATGTATTTATCTTAGTAGGGACCTCCCAGGGACAGCAAGAGTTTGACTTTGCAGTTTAAACAGAAAGAAGTCATTTTTCATTGACAAACTGGATGAAATCCCGCAGTGGGAGTGGAAGGCAGTGAAAGTCCTGTGAATATTTTATCTGTTGTTTCTTGCCAGATTTTCTTATTATTGTTGCTGTTTCTTTTCTGAGCATGATAGTCATCTAATATCCCAAATTAGTCTCCAAACAGTTTGGCTAAACATGATTTCGTAACACAAATCGTTGCACAATAAAAGAATGAAGGAGTGGAAATGAAGCGGCACTGTCTCAATGCGCGCCGACTCCAAATATCAACCCATTTCCAGCTTGTTAGCAGCAATGTTTACGAATGTTAAACAGATAAATTTGTGCTTCTTTACCTGCTGTAGTCTTTATGACGTCTGTAGTGTTCCTCAGGCCCATAAAATCAAACTGGTACAGACGCCAGGACTTTTGGTCAGCCGCCTCCACAGAGTTCTTCCTCCACTTGTAAATCATTTCATCTTGTGGGTATCCATCTGCAATTACACAGAGCATATGTGTGTGTGACCCTTGGCACTACATGTCACATCCTAATGATGGATACCCTGTGCAGACAGACCTAGGGCCACCCGGAGCAACATTTGTCTTGAGGTGGATGCTGGCTAATGAAAAGACTGGGATGAAGACAGAGGCAAAAATAAAGCAGATTAAATGAAAGCTTTGGTTCAATAAGGTAGTGAGTCCATCTAAATGTTACGTCTGACCTTCACGAGCTGCACACAGAGCCTGGAAGCGCTTTTACAATTGATCATGTGAGGTTAACGATGGGTTAATGATTCCATTTCTGCTCTGGTGTCATGCTAGCCTGAATCTTTAACACACACATAATCATTTTAAGTAGAAAGGCTAACAAAATTATGATCCTGCCTGACAGCAATTTGATTTAATAGGGTTTCAATTAACAAAAAACATTAACCGTGAGGGAACTGCTAATTGTTTTCAAACATGCTTGATGAATGACTTCTATTAACATTTTCCACAAGTCTTCCATTCGCCATTAATGCTGTCATTAAATATTTACCAAACCCTTCGTAAACTAAAAGTGTATAGAATACAACATCTGTTGAGAGCACCGCTTTACCCAAACTAACTTCATTCATGGCCTGCTACACTGGATTTGCATAAAGCATTAGTAATGGCTCGAAGATACGTAATGCATCTGCAAGGGAACAAAATCCATATAATGCACATCAGCAAGAAAGGCTACAATAGTTAGCTAAAAGTATATCATAACAATGTAAAGCATAATATAATTCAACATAAAACAGGCTGATTAAAAGCTTGACTCTATAAAAATATCTTCAGCTGCTTCTTTAAAAGAGGAAGTAGAGTCTGTGCTGTGTAGAGAGAGCAGAAGAGAATTCTACAACCTTGGTAAAACTACCTGAAAAGTCAGATCCCCACAGGTTTTAGAGCTGTTAGTGGGGCCAGCAGCAAAAAGTCTGAGGTTTCAGCAGGTCATGATTTACTGGGGAGATCCACCATGGAGGTCTTAAAAGTTCAAACTAAAAATTTAAAATTAATTCTAAAATGTTTGGTAAAACATGAAGAGAAGCCAAAACTGGAGTGGTGAGTGATCTTCTGTTGGCACCAGTTAAAAGTTCTGTGACAGGATTCTGCACAGTCTTAAAATCTGAAGTAAAAAGACTGTTACAAAAATTCCAAATACGAAGAGATAAAAGCATGAAAATTCATCTCAAGTTCAGCCTTTGACACCAGCATGATTGAACCGAAAAGTCTGAAGAAGCTGATATGCCATATAATTTAAAGCAAAAGAATCAGACCCAAAAGAGATCCCTGAGGTACTCCACGAGGCAGAACGGTTGTTTCAGACGTCAGCTGTTTCATACAAACAGTAACAGATTTATCCGAGAGATATGACACGACAAGAACAACAACAAATAAAAATGTGTTTAATTTAAATCTGTGGTTATTTGGTCAAATTAATCCCATAACCAGCAAAAGCAGGTATTGATCCATATGCATGTTTTCAGAGACTGGGATTTCTAGATGACTGTGGGTTCACTGTTCACATTGTAATATATCATCATTAATATCAGTATCAGCAGCCACTTTAATCGGCAGTGTTGGGGAGTAACGGAATACATGTACCGCCGTTACTTATTTAAAATACAAAATATGAGTAACTGTATTCCGTTACAGTTACCGCTTAAAAAGGTGGTATTTAGAATACAGTTACTTTGTTGAAATAAATGGATTACACAGCGATATTTGTTTCATATTGTGGCGGGTCAGGACTGTTTGGGTTCTGTTTGACAGCTATGTTCTGTTACAGTTGCCATGGTTACAGGGTGAGGGTGTGTTTCCTGGGTGAGAGAGCTGTTGTTGTTGTTGTTGTGCTAAGCTAATAGGCAGAATGCTACAGGCATAGCCCTAAAGAATGTAGCCTCATGGGCAGTGTAGTCCATGCTGCAGGGAGAATGGCCTGCCGTACACGTTATGTGTCTGTGAGCACGAGGAGGGGGAAAAGGGAGAGTGGAAAAGTAGAGTTGTCATTGAGCAGAAACGGGAGCTGGAAGCATGTAAATAGAATAATAATCACAGCAGCCAAGAAGAGTGCCTGACAAGCCCAGTTGTAAGTAAGCTATTAAGACTCGACTGTACACTGTGTTCGTGTTTTCCTCCAAAAACAACAAGTTCCATTGGAGCAGCCTTTCAAAGCCTCTCTCTGTCTCTCGCAAGCAAAGTTGACCCAGACAACAAGGTAAAGCTAGTTTTCGGCTTCGAGCCCAACACGAACCCAACGTATTAGCCAGAGGTCCCTTTACTACGGTTCGGAGCCGCAGACCTTCAGCAATAGTAAGAAACCACACAGCAATAGTACATTCATGTAGTTGTAAAAAGCATGATAATATATTAAGTAATCCAAAGTATTCAGAATACGTTACTCTCATTGAGTAACGTAACGGAATACGTTACAAAATATATTTTGGGGCATGTATTTTGTAATCTGTAGTGGAATACATTTTAAAACTAACCTTCCCAACACTGTTAATCGGTACACCTTGCTAGTAGCAGGTTGGCCCTCTTGTCATCACACAGTTGCTGCAGATTTGTCGACTGCACGTATGATGTGAATCTTCTGTGATGACTGTGGAGGCTGTGAGTGTGGGTACAGTCATTCAGTCACTGCTACGTTCAAGAAACCAGTCTGAGATGATTTGAGCTTTGCAACACGGTGTGTTATCTTGCTGGAAGCAGCCATCAGAAGATGGTACACTGGGGTCATAAAAGGATGGATACGGTCAGCAACAATAGTCAGTCAGGCTGTGTGTTTATATGATGCTCAGTTGATACACGAGCAGCAGCCAGAACCTTGGACACAAGGTAGAGCGAATGCTTTCATGATGTTTACACCAAATTCGGACTCTACTGACAGTAGAAGAAATCGAGACTCATCAGACCAAGCAAAATGTTTCCAATTTTTAATGCACCCATGTAAACTGTAAGCTCAGTTTCCTGTTCTTAGCCGACAGCAGTGTAACCCAGTGTGGGATGCTGCTGTAATCCAGCAATCTGGCCTTTCTCCATCTCTCCTCTGACCTCTGACATTGACAAGGCAGAGAACTGCTGCTTTTTACACAGGTGCCTAAAGAACGCAGAGTTACTTCTTTTGGTCAGGTTGGAGACATTTTGGTGGTGGTTACCAGTTCAAGAGCAATGTCTCCAAATTTTCAGAATCATTTCCAGGTTTACATGGAAATATTTATTTGAATTCCTTTTTGGAAATCTGTTAAAATATTGGTTTGGTCTTTAAGAAAAAGAACTTTATTAAAAATAATAAACAAAACCATCAAAGTATTAGTATTTAAAAGTATCAGTGAGGGAATTTTGTCTTTAAAATGCTAGAGATTTTGACATGGGAGTGAGGACTCCTATTTGTAAAAGTGTCATGCTCCTTACCAGAGATTGTATATTTTTTCTATATACAGCCCATGCTCCTGACTGAAAGTGCAGTGTTGTGGTTTTTGCCTCTGCTGCAATTGGAGCTGGTATCTCAGTCTCTTCTACAATTGATTTTTCCCCGAGCTCTGGTGTAAAATTGCAAGTGTGCAGATCTATAAAGCTGATTAGCTGACAATGACGAATGAGGTTTGTCATTGGTATTGTTTTTTCTGTTTAATTCTGTTGTAATGAAGCCACAGTAGCTGCACCTGAAGCATCTGGCTGTTTCACAGGTTCCCAAAGGAGAAAAATAGGTCAGTGGCTTTGCGTGATCATTTCTGCAGGAAATCCAGTGAAAAAGAGATTATCAGGATCATACAATAACACTACTCATTTAAAACTGCAGGAAATTGGATAGCTCTCAGTAATGACCTGGAAATGAAGGACTCATCTGAAAACATGTAATATCCTCAGTAAACAGTTTTTATTACCAGGAGTTACAATATTCCCTCCAAAATGTTAATTTCTCACAAAAACATGCAG